TAATATGGAATATTTTTCATTATAATATTGTTTTTTAGTGTAGGATTACTTTCCTTAATAGTTGATTGTTTAATCTTTATTTTTTTTTATTTCCTTTTACAGTTATTTGTAATTCTATAAATAGGGTCTTCTACATTGTAATATTAACAAGACAATATAATACAATTTATATTTCTTGACACATACTGCATGCACAGACATTGAAAAAGACTGATCTTTAGATAGGTGAAAGCATATAAGCGCAATGAAATTGCACTTCAACATGAAAGTTTGCTGCTAGAATCTCAAAATAGCATATCATAAGTTCGGTACAGGCAACTATTGGGAGAAACATACAGACTATTAAATTATCAGCTAACTTTTCATATTTCTGAAGGGTTAAAACTATATTAGTCACCCAACATATAGTGTTGTTCACATTGGTCACCAAACTGTTGTGTTTTTCCAAATTAGTCACTGAATATCCAATTTTTTTAGTTTATGTCTACCTCCGTCTACTAAATTAACAGAAATGCTCGTGTTGTGGTGGCTGCAATGGCAATAGGGAGTGGTAGGGTTATAGGGGTTTGGCAAAGAAGATTAAGATTTATCTTTCTCCATATGCATCTTTCATTTATTATTTTTGTAACCTAGAAACGACGTACTTATAAAGCAAAACTAGTACGGTAAGATGCATTTATGTCCAACTGGACAATAAAAACAATACACCAATGGATTTTTCGTGTCATGTCATATTTTTCATCCACAACATTGACATTTTCATTAATTCAGCAGGCAGAGGTATACAGCGTGCTTAAACACAAACAGAAATGAACATTAAAAAATGTTCTGTGACCGAAGTGACAAAAAAAAAAAAATCTATAATTTGGGTGAATAATAGTGCATTTAACCTTATATCTGATTCTGCCCTCCATGAGAATCAAAATTATATTATTTTCTAAATTTTCATATTTCTGACTCAGCCCTCCATGAGAAAGATTTACGCAAGTATCCTGCTTGTCAATATTGAAATATGCAACAAGATCTCTTTCCTCAGAGTGGGCAGAAGTTAAATGTTTGTATCTGACAGAGCAAAACGAATTAGATAACAGAGACAAACCATATCTTAAAAATTATGGCACACGTGACTGAAATCAAGCAAGTGATGGCAGATAACACAGAGAATGATGTTCAGGTACTGACTCCAAAATCTCAGCAAAATAATCGGAAACTTAAATAAATGTATTTAATCATGTGCTCACAGCAATACAGCAAAAAATGTCCTACACAAAAATACTTTGTGTCCCTTTTTTCATGAAAATGGACATGAGAAATAATTCATTAGATATACGTTCAGTCGAAAATATGGAGAGGGACATAAATCATGTTGGTACACCAAGTGCACTTTTATATGATAACATACGTAAAGATGTAAATGTTAATTTTGCTTAGATCAGACAATAAAATAAGGATGCATTCTAACATAGGCTTTTCCTCTAAATTAACAAGAAATCTTCACTTTAAGATATTTGATACCAAGAACAATTTTTTTAATCAACTGGTGCCATAAGAACAGATTATCATCTTCCCATAGACCAGTTCAATATCACTCAGGGCACATGAAAATATTGCACCATACAAATGTAATCATTACTGTAATGGTCTTACAAGTACTAAATGAAATGCAGTGGATTTCATAGGCTTACATGTCATTCTCTTTCAGCTGGGATAGACAATCATCTTTTTGCTGCTCCAGCTTACTGCTTACTTCCTACAATAGAGTAAGAAAGACAAAATGTATATGAATACAAAATGGACCAGTCTAACAGATGCATTATTCAAGCGCCAATCCTTCCAGGAAATTGTTAAAGGATTTAGCTTATGCAACAAGGTTTCCCAGATCAATTTCTTTTACCCTAGCAGCCAATTCTATAACTCATATTATAAGGCTGAGTTTGAATATGTAATCTATGCCCTTGAAATTTCTTGCTAGTTTGTTGTAGCATCAAAAAGCTATTACATATATAATAAACTGTTCAAAATAAAATTCGAGACTATCACTATATATATTGGGCTGGCAAACCACTGTGATGTAGTACATCACAACTA